TTCAGTTAAGGAAAAGTTTGATACCTATCAAACTTGTGATGGGGGTGCTGTGAAGATGGCAAATGGTGCACGGAGCAAAATTGCAGGGGTCGGAACAGTGCAAGTTCGCATGTTTGATGGCGTGGTGAGAACATTAACTGGAGTGAAACATGTACCGGGTCTAAAAGGAAATTTGATTTCCTTGGGGGCTTTAGACTCAGAAGGCTGCCGAATGTTTGCTCAAGGTGGAGTGTTAAAAATTTCTAGGGGAGCAATGGTGGTAGCAAAAGGAGTTTTGTCAAAAGGCTTGTATAAACTTGTAGGAAAAGATTTGACACGGAAGTTGCCAGAAGGAAAAATTACAAGTGCAACGAGCGGAGCATTTGCATGGAAGAAGCGGGTGACATTTGAAGATTCTCAGGTTGGTGGAGACTGTGGCCTCGCCGAAACGAGCGGGGTGGAGCTGGACCATGGTTTGATTAATTAATCAAGGTGGGGTTTGTTGGGATATTTGATTAAATAATCAAAAGAAATAATAAAAAAAAGAAAAGAAAGAAATCAAAGGAAGATACATGCATGCGATGATATCCTAAGTTGCGTGTGGATTTTTTTGATGGAAGGGAATCAAATTTGTTTTGGTCTTTTGGACTCTTGTGTTGGTGGTCATTTGCAGCAGTATTTCTCTTGGCTTTAAAAGTCATGCATGGTCTTCTTAGTAAATACACACACGGTTAAGAAGGAGAGGGAAAGAGTGTGAAGAGAGAGGTCTACACAAGATATCACCAACATTGTGTGAGTGAGTGTAAGGAGTAACTGGTTTTAGTTACTCGGAAAAATACATCCGGGTGTAGGGTGTGAAAAGTCTGTTTATAAGTGTCTGGTATTTAGCACTTGTAAACAGGGAGAGTTTTTTGTATATTGTCCTGAAATAGTGGAAATATAATTTTTTTCTCTCATATATAATCTCCTTGTGTTTATTTATTTTTCACGTTCTTGATATTTTAATAGTCTTACGCGCTTAAAATTCCAACACTATAAATATGATTTTATAGAAATTTGATGAAAAAAATTATTATCCTAGCGCATGTGTGTATAAAATTTTGGGAATAACTAAATAGAATAAAATAATTTTCTAAATTTAATTTCTCCATGCGATATGTCACATTCAATTTGTTTCTAATCTTCATAATGAAATCCTTTGTTATGGATAACAAATTTATTATTTCAGTGAATTAGGTTATATATTTAGTTTTAAATTGTTAATTTTGTTTTCCATGTATTTTTCTTTACAAAAAAACATATACTGTTTAAGGATACAATGTTAAAGATGAATGTAATTATTGGTGAGTAATAATATAGATTTATTTGGTACATGCATTTATAACAATTTATAATAATGTTGTGTATAACTAAGTGATGAACGCGCATTATATATAGTAAATTTAAGTACACACAACTATCATTGTAATAGCTATATATAACCATATTATAAACTTATTACTTAAACAAAGTCGTTTTGTGTGACTCAAGGCTGACAACTTTTTCAAACCCTTTATTGGAAAATAATAGCTTTAAAATAGAAAGTTGAAATTTTAAAAAAGAAGCATATTTTTTATTACACTTGATGTTTTGATTTTAATATATACAATAAATCAGTAGAGTATTGTTAGATAAACACAACAATAAATCATCATTTATGGATATTATTATTATTATTATTAATATTGTTGTTGTTGTTGTTGTTAATATTATCCAACGTAATTTAGGAACCAAATTTTAATCAAGAGTTTTTAATTTTTTTTATAGACAGATTTTTTTGGGGTTTTTTTTGCATTCTACTCCCTCCGTCCACGAGTATTAGTCCATTTTTACGTTTTTAGAAAAAATTGATAAACTTTATCTCAGAGGTAGTAAAAAAATAAAATAAAAATTGATAAAAAATAATATCATTAGATTTATTATATCAAGAATAATATTACATGTAATATAAAACATATATTTTATTTAATTAGAGGTCAAATGTTAAAAAAAATTGATTAAAAAAAAGTTAAAACTTAACAAATACTCAAGGACGAAGGTAGTAATACACTTAAATAGCCATTATGTACCAAAGATTTTTTTTCATTGATCTATCATATATAAAACTTAGGAATTATATCCATAAAACATTTGTAAAAGAAGCATTAAAAAGTATTTACTTTTTCATAAAGCAAATATTAGTTCAATATTTTCTTTCTATGCTTGATTACATTCACAGATGGAGAAGCATCGTCGTCGGCCATAGGCTCGGATAATCGAAGCCGTTCAAGAAAGAATATACTTAGTGATGTGACAAATGGTAATTTTTTTATTATAATTAAGATTTAATATTTCCAGTACATTTTCCCTAAAAAAGGATCTATACAGTGCTTCAATCAGAGAATAATTCTACACCCACTTCATCACGCTTTCAAGTGTATAAGAGACAGAAGAGAATTGATCTATCTGCAATAACACGTTCTATTACTTTCGAAGAAGGTAATCATTCAAAACTTTTCTTTGTGTATTAGGTAACTATAGGTATATAGTGCTATTATAAATATATTTAAATATTAACTACCTCCATATGGGGGATCATACACTACATTTTTATTTTAAATACACAAAAATGTTGTTGTTGAAGGTTCATCTACTCAATATACATCAGCAGAACCATTTTTAGATAATCTTGCATTTGGAGAAGCTGAAATTAAAGGTATGTTTACATAATATGTAACACATTAAATTTTTGTAAAATCCTAAATCTTTATAAACAACTTTCTATATCATATTTTATTATTCCTGTGTAGATATAATTGATTTTGGAGATCCCACATTTAAATGTGAATTCTGTGGAGCATTGTTATGGTATGGAGAAAGAGCTGAAAAAAGTAGAGAATCAGAAAAACCCGACTTTTCGATTTGTTGTATGAAAGGAAAAGTTGAACTGTCTCTGCTAAAGAAACCTCCAGATTTGCTCTATAATTTATTTAATGGGAGTGACGTTAGGAGTTCCCATTTTTTGAACAATTTAAGAAAGTACAACAGTATGTTTTCATTCACGTATATGGATGGAAATATTGATACATCTCAGAACAACGGTCGAGCAGCTCCACAGTTTACTCTTAGTGGTCACAATCATCATCACATAACATCATTGTTGCCACAAGATGGTGGAAGGCCAAGATTTACTCAATTGTATATTTATGATACACAGAACGAGGTATCAAATAGAATAGCTCATTTCAGGTATTTCAGGTATTTTAGTATGTGCGGCCCTTTAATGCATGTACTCTTTATTTGTGCATGACAAAATATTTTCATGGAACATAATTATCATAATAACATAATTTTTTTCATGCAGAAGGCGGAATAATTCTTCGGCTATTGATACAACTTTAGTCGAGGATTTGAAAAATATGATAGATGAACATAATATTTTGGCACAGAGTTTCAGAAGAGCTAGAGATTTCGTGCATAGTGAGCCCACATCTACTTTGTCTATGAGGCTTCTGAGAAGTAGATCTAGAGACTCGAGAAATTATAATATCCCCACAGCGGACGAAGTTGCAGCTCTGATAGTTGGAGATTTTGATTCAAAAAATGAAGAAAGAGACATCATCGTCGTAAAAAGAAATGGATTCTTGCAACAAATCCATGAGACACACCCGGCGTTCATACCTCTTCAGTACCCTTTGTTGTTTCCTTTTGGAGAAGACGGATATCATGAAAATATCCGTATAAGAGAATCATTTTTCCTGCAAAACAATGTAAAGCGTCCAAATATATCAGCGAGAGAATTTGTTGCATATCGTATACAAGAAAGGGAAAATGATGGTGGCATTTTGTTGCTTGCACGAAGATTGTACTTACAATTTCTGGTAGATGCTTACATGATCGTTGAGGCTCAGAGAATCCAGTGGGTAAAGTTAAACCAAGATCAATTAAGGGGAGCAATTATGAGTGGCATAGAAGAAGCTGTGATTAGAGGTGATACCCAATCGGCATCTGTTGGCCAACTAATTATTCTACCATCTTCATTCACTGGGGGAATGAGATATATGTTTAACAACTGTCAAGATGCTACGGCCATTTGTAGAAGACTTGGTTATCCAGATTTGTTCATTACTATGACATGTAATCCCCAGTGGCCAGAAATTGCAAGATATATGACAGTAAGAAAATGTAGAGCTGAAGACAGACCCGATATTGAATCTAGGATTTTTAAAATGAAATTGGATCATTTGGAAAAAGACCTAAAAAAGGCCGAATATTTGGTGAAGTGATTGCAGGTAATGGTATAGTTTGGTATCTTATTTTCATTTAAATAATAAAATTAATATACTTTAAACATTATTATTTTATGTATCGTCATTTGACTAGAATAATTGTGTGCAGGTTTGTACACAGTTGAGTTTCAAAAGAGAGGTTTGCCTCATGCACATATCTTAATTTGGTTACACGAGAGAGATAAACTTCAATCACCAGAGTCGATTGATCGTGTGATATGTGCAGAGTTGCCTGATAAAGAAAAGTACCCAAGGTTGTATGAATCTGTAACTCGCTTGATGATGCATGTCCCTGTGGAGTAAATGATCCTAGATCTCCATGTATGGATGATGGAAAATGCAAAAAATATTTCCCGAAAAAATTTGTTGACAAGACATCATTTGATGAGAATGGGTATCCGGTATATAGAAGAAGAAACATGGGGATCACCACAACAAGAAAAGATGTCGAGTTGGATAATCGATTTGTTGTGCCATACAACCCACTGCTCTTGATGATGTATCAAGCTCACATCAACATTGAATATTGCAACAAATCTAATTCAATCAAATATCTCTTTAAATATGTCAATAAGGGTCCGGATAGAGTAACTGTTGCAGTTACCCAATCTAAATCTGACGATGCTCATAATGAGGTGCGTGATGAGACAGAGAAATACTATGATTGTCGTTACGTCTCTGCATGTGAAGCATCTTGGAGAATCCTCTCTTTTGATATACATCACAGATGGCCAGCAGTATTGAGGTTGAATTTCCATCTCCCAGGACAGAAATTTGTCACTTTTAAGGAGCAACAAAAGTTAAAAGATGTTTCCAGACAAAATCTTTACAAGCCTTCAATGTTTGAGGCTTGGATGATTGCAAATTCAAAGTACAAAGCGGGGGAAAATCTAACGTATGCAGAATTTCCAGGACATTTTGTGTTCAACAACAAGGAGCGTGAATGGCATCCGAGGAAATAGAGACCATCAATAGGCCGCCTACAATATATGCCTGCACGAACAGGAGAGTTATACTACTTGAGAATACTATTAACTGTCCAGCGGGGGTGTACAAGTTATGAAAGCTTGAAGACAGTTAACAATGTTCTGTATAACACATTCGAGGAGACATGCGATGCATTGGGGTTACTTGCTGATGATAAGGAATTTATTGAAGGTATAAAAGAGGCTGCTGAGTTAGGTT